AACCCAGCTCTGATGATGTCCATCATATGATGGACGAAAGCTCAGCACGCTTTCACCCGAAACGAGGGAGACAGTCTTGTGGACTGCGTCAATCGTATAAAAGCCAAACGGCTGCAGTACAACGAGATTCATCCGTCCTTATCTGGTGAGATCGACCAACGAATCTCTTCTTCATTCACGTTCATACGAAATGAAAATCCCCTTAACAATTTTATTCACTCTATTTTGCCACATGTGATGTGAAGGATACTTATAAAGAGTATATTAGTTATATCTGTAAATAAACGCAATGGGAGTGGTGGTAAGGATAGGTTGGAGGCCGTGACTACAGAGGGTAGCATAAAAAGAGGATAATTAGGAAAAGATAAAGGGAAAAATGAATAGTTAACCTTTATATTGGTTGATTGCTTATGTTTATGCCTATGCTCTAAGTTGCTAGGCTCAGAGAAGCATAATAGAGACCTGCACAATCGTATAACGAAGGTCATCCGCCCAAGTTTTCTCTCATTTTAATCTTTATTATTCAGTAACAAGAAATTATAGCACCTAGTTCTTCATCTTATTCCTAATATCACAGCTCTTCGAGAAATTACATTTCAGATAATCGTTCTAATCAATAAAGGCGATTCTCGAGGGAACTGCGAACACTAAGCAATGACCCAGAGAAGTTCGAAACAAGGGCATAAGCGAATCGAATTTCATGAATTCAGAAGTTTTTTCATCCCAATAGCCAATACGGTGAACAGAGTTTTTCTGATTAAGCTGATAATGCACTGAGTGAGTACATATACTATATTTATAACTAGATTTGGGCTACTGCAGCATCAAAAAAGTTGAAGGACATATCCAAAGGAAAAGGAATGTCGCAATTTTTCGTAAGCGCTAAATAGGTCATAATGTAATTTGCTGATGCACTAAAACGTTTAATCTTGGAGTGTAATAAGGTAGATAATTTTCGCCAGACTTATTTGGAATCCTAAGGCTAGCACGTCAACTTCCCAGCT